AAAGAAGCATTACTAGACTTCACAATTGGTAGGCCATCAATATTTATAAAAATCCGAAGAATATTAGTAGGGCCAACAAGTTGTACATGTTTATTTAACATCATCTTAAGAGCTCTCTTTAAACCAAAATGATAGTATTGCATTTCTGTAGGAATGCATTCGACGTTTCTGGGAGTGTTCAACAAAGTTCGAGGATCTTTCGGAAATGGAAAATTTGTACGTTTCCGTAAAATAATCAACAATTTGGCGAGAGATTTATGCGATATACCAGAATTTACATACCAACAACATAATTTTTTCTAAATTTCTCATAATTTTCTAAAATTTGATTGTCTCTCTCATCATTTTCAGATTCACTTTCTGATTCAAACACTTCAACCTCACTATTTGACTGTATATCCTCAACTTCGCACGTTGGTTCTAAATCATTGTCAAATAAATCTATATAATTAATAACATTAGGCACAGCAACATAATTAGGCGCAACATCATTGTTTAAATTTCCATCGTCGCTATCATTTTGATTTTGAGCTATTATTTCAGCACTATTATTACTATCGGAAAATGATTGATGAGAACATTCTGGTGCAAAAATCGTATCTAAATCTACAGACGTATTTTTTTTAATAATTTGACAAACATGCCGTTTTGAAAGAGACGAAAATCTTTTCCGTTTTTTGTCCATTGTGAGAAAATGTAATTATATTTATTGCTTCTTGTACAACTATAGCTATACTCACTGCTTATTGTTCGACTATAGCTGTCAGCAAATATAACAAACTCCTCTGTAACAAACATAATATAAATAGTACTATAATCAGTGTTTGCATTATTTGCTAGGTTATAAACCTATCTAATTTCCGGACACAGAAAATACGTGTGTATTTTCTTATCGTGCCGATCAAGTCACAACTTTTATTATTAGATATAACAAGCCATCGATATTTTATCTTAAAGCCCTTCTACATAAAACGCAGGATGCAGAATGCAAGTCGCAGGTCGCAGGGAACGAACGCTGGCCACAAGATTTTTGAGTCTATTGTAGTCTCCATACATACATAATATTACGTTTCTATTCGATACGAGATTGTACAAAGTGCATCGCAAACAATTTTGTCCTGCGTTAACGCAGCAAGGTTGGAAATATGTCACGCTGCGTCTAA